TGTTGTTCACATTTTCTCAGCGAGCCAAGCTCTGGGAAGCACAAGATTACAGGAGAATCTCTGATTTAATGCTCTGTAAATGAGCTTCTCATGCTGTGGGTTGCAAAGAAAAGCAGAACAAGGGACCCCTGAAGACTCAAAACCAGAAGGCAGATTAAAACAATTCAAAATACATTACAATTTAAAACCTCATTATTTTCACTTAACCTCATTTGTTTTTAATACATGGAGCCGGGAATTACCAAAACTGGGTTAGGTTTCCAAAGGAATCATAGGTATGGCTCTGCGGAGACACCTTGGTTCCTACTGGAGCATGCAGTTGCAGGCTGCAGCCATGGGAACCGCTTGGCTGTGTGTAGAAGGTCTGCAAAGCCTGGACAGTGCATTGAACAGGTAGCAGAAAGTGCTGGAACTGATGTGCTGCTAATCCCTCAGGAAATCTGGAATCTGTAGCTCTTCCTGCAGGACTCATGATTCGGGTTAGGCACCAAGGTCTGTTGTCTCAAAAGCAAGCAAAACGAGCTGAGGTGGCGCCACCTTTTCGTTTGCATGACCTCAAAAGGGGTTGAGTAGCACCAGCTCCCTATGTTTGTAAGGAGATGTTCACTTTCAGCTGCATAAATTTCTAAATGAGGATGAGTTAAAAGTGCTGCAGAGACCAGACCATCAGTGGGACATCAGGATGTGACCTGTAACCTGCCCATTTTGGCGCACTGAACTTATTCTGTGTTTGCCTCTGACAGCTCACAATCACTTCATGGATACAATTTATTTATATTCAAAGTTCCAATTGCTGGCTTTTGCTTTCTATTTCATGGGTAATTAACTCTGTTTGGAAAAAAATGAGTCACGAATTTTCATCACTTCTTTTACAAATGAAATAGCACCTCTTAAGTAATGCAGACAGTTACAGGATACATTTTTTATATAATTTGTATTTTAAAGAAAATTGTGACAAAGGAAAGAACAGGTTTGTCTCTGAGATTTTTAATAACAAGAATTCCACATGCACAAAAATCACTATGTACTGGCTGCAGTCACTCTTAGTAGTCTGGCACCAAACTGCTGACATGAACTAGAGAGATCACTGGCTAAGGAAATCAAATATCTTTTAAAGTATAATTAAAATTAAAGGTGTGTTATATTTCTTCAATCCAATTTTAATAATACAGTGCTACCTGCCCACTCCCAGCTGGCCAAATCCTAATTACAACATCCTATGATTTTCACAGTAAAATAAAAAATCTCCCTGTATGTTGAAGTGCTTTGCCACACTTTGGTCTGCTGCTGGCTTTCTCATTTGTACCTTCTTTACGCTGTTCTGTAGTTAAATATCTGCTCTTTTTAACACCTGGCTTTGTAGGTCATAGGAGTAGTTCTTGGCAAGTGATACCAGCTCTGAAGAGCCTTTCACATCTTGACACAAATCAAAATGCAAAAAGTGTTTTGCCATATTCTTTCCACTTTGCAACTAGCTGAGGTTCCACAGCTAAAGAGGCTGACCTGTCTTCAGTCATCTGTGTGCAGGGATGTTTTAACTGAATCTTCTAACCTCCTTTTCTATTTAGCTTGGGATCTCTCAATGGAAAGGTACTGGCCTTATTTAAGGTATTTCTCCTACAGTTTGTAGTCTGTTAACAGGAAATGTAAAGGGTCTTGAATCTCTAATTGCTTGCTGTGCTAGTAGCCCTCTGAAGCTAACTGCTACTCTCTTGCTCCTTTATAAAAGGCAGAGCCACAGCGCTTTGCAGCTGAGAAGGCTGTAATCCCTAGCAATCCCTTAACAACGCAGATGGAAAAGCTCCTGGTAAATGTTACTGTTTTTTCAGAGGTTGGTCTCCTCCAAATGCTTGCTTTTCTGGCTCCTTCCATGGATGGCAGCCTGATGCTCTTTTTTCAGTATGAGGGAACAGCCCTGAGAGGAGCTGCGTTTTTGCCTTGGAGGGGCTGCTATTTACATGCAAAAATATTGTATGTATTGTGCATGTTCCTAGTGTTCTTCCCACGGAATAAGCTAAGGAGGTCTCACTGGAAAAGCAATGTGCATTTCTCTTAAAGTACTCCTCTCGGAGTCTTCCTCCACATCAGTTCAGATTACCCTTTAACTACAAATCTGTTCAATTTGCAAATGTTTGGCCAGTTCAGTGTTTTGATTTAAATAAACAAATTACAAGGCACCAGCACATATTCTGGCCTATATGGGAGAGTGTCTGCTTGTTGACAGCAGACCTGCCTGAGTGTGAACAAGTAAAGCTCCAAGTAACAGGGACTCTGCGGGCTGGACTTCAGTGTGCTTGCGGCTGACCACTGCACACTGCTGGAGAGCTGATGCTGAACACAGAATGAGCTGCATCTGTCCCAGCTGTGTGCTATCTGGTGCTGTCTGTCAGTGTTTTGCCTAACATAGGAACTCAGTATCAACAGTCACAGCATGAAGATGTGGTGCAGCAAAGAGAGAGCATCATAACAACTTCAGAAGTTCTGATTTGGTCTTGCACAGAGAAAATTTGACATTTCGTGCATCCCAAAGCTGCCCTGTTTGCTTTCCAGTTTGAAATTGTACTCCTTGTTTTTCAAACCACACCCTCACCCCTTGGACTTCTTTCCAGCTTGTCTCCTGGAAACAGCCAAGCCCTCCCTTTTCCTCCAGTCTGTCTCTCCTCTCCTTCCAATAGGCTCCTCACTGCTGGGTGAAGAACTGCCTCCTATCATCATCTCTCATCCAGAACTGACTCCTTGAACATGTCCCGCAGTCATTCTCCATGTTAGTGCAAAATTCCATTTGAATAATGTTCTTTTTGCATGGAGTTCCATTCTCCTTTTCCCATCTGTTCTTACTGAGCACATAACTGTGGGTCATACAAAGCACTCTGAGGCTCTTCTGTGGTTTTCCTAAGTCGTTGTGCAAGCTCCTGCGAGCAGACTGGTAAAAATTGTAATGCTTCTGAGGAAATCACTTTAAATGTAAAGATTCTGTTGCAGTTATTTAATATGTATTTAATTCCCTCTAGTTCATTCTCTGGCAGGAGAAGTGTTCTCCACACTTAGTATTTCAAAGAAAACCTCCACTATGGTGGATTTAACTCCTGACAAAGGTCACTTTATGAATTTAGTTTGGTATGTGAAGCCCCATCCTGTATTTCCTGTGCACGGAAAGCTCTGCTGGAGATGATAGATTCTGATGGCATTTAATGTCAAAATAAACAGAAGTGTATAGAGGCAGTAGCAATACAGGCTGGAGTTCTTTAGGTTCCCCACAGAGAATGCCATGATGATACATAATTTACTTGTAACTTGCAAACAATATGCCTAGCTTTCCTCCCAGAAGCATTTCCACTTACAGAAGCCATTTCTGTCTTTGTGCAGTGTGCTGACATTCATTTTCCCTGTACATTCACACAGTTGTTTGCTTCTTCTCTGGACACTTGTGTTCTCCAGGGCTCACAGCACAGCAGTTTATCAGCTGAAATTGCAACTCCTCCAGCTCAGCCTTGTAAAAACAGAGGTCCACTGGTCAGTGATGCAAAGCCCAATAAAGGGCATGGGAGTCAACATCTGTCCTCAAAACCGTGACAGGCAGGTCATGGCTGCTTGCTACGCCAGCCTTTTTAGAAGCTGAATTCCTCCAGAGTGTTTTCTCTGGCAGCTTATCCATCAAGTGGATAGAGGGTAAACGTGTTCTTTGAAAACATAACTAATGGAAAGAAAGGGGGTAGCTAATATAACTCAAGTGTTCATCTATTGCTGATTTCACTCACTCTGGAATGACAGAAACCAAGCTGCACTTACACAGACCAAGTAAAATCTTAGTCTAAATGGTTTGAGCGGTTAAATGCCATTTAGAAGCACAACCAGTAAGTGTGCATAAATAGGATAGAAGAATAAAAGGCTTGAAAGGACGTGAAGGGTTCTTCTGGTTTTTGTCCTACAGCAAAACTGAATGAGCCTATGTTTTCTAATTGCAGATTAATAGGGTGATTGAGGAAATGTTGAATATATTGACTGTTAGGGCCTTTCAGCTATTTCCTTTGAAATAGACCCTGACAGGGGAACCTCAGTATTAATTTTCTTAACATTATTATATTATCCAAGAAACAGAAGAAAGCCAAGAAAAGCAGAAACCCCATTATGTTTTAGAGTATAGTAGTAAACCATGCAGATGGTAAACAGACTTAATTTTCTACAGGGCCTTTATGATACATTTCCTCTCCTTCTAATCCTGGAAAGAAGCACTCTCTAAATTCATCAGCTATGAATTCCCTTTGGCCCCAGATGGGAACAAGTCTGTTATGACTATGCCTTCCCTATGTTTGCCTGTTTTCTTCTCCGCACCATAGTAAGTTTTGAGAATATTGGCCAAATTCAGCTGTCCATGATGGAACAGAATAAGCTCAAAGGTACTCAATTTCTGCAGGTCTCATGAAAACAGCAGCCAGAGAGGGGAGAGAGACTTTTATTTCGAAGGAATGGCTGAAGTGGGAGTTCAGCCCTTACTGGCAGGTCTATGAAGCAGTCAACCTAAATCATGGAAAAAAAGAATCTTTGGCCAAGGTCTGCACCTTCTTGATTTAGTTTCATTGTTCATGAAAGATTTTTGTTCCCTTTCTTTATGCCCAGATTCCTGCTTTTGTATGAATCTGTACCTTTGTCCACATTAACTTTAAAGATAGGTTCAGAAATCCCCTCCTGAAAACACCATTATTTCCTGAACTATGTTCTCCCCTTCAAAACCAGGTTTTTGTTAGACCATGTAATGCTATTGAACACAACACAAAGGAACTGTGTTTTCCTATCAGCTCATAGGATTTCATGAAGCTGAAGATAAAAGTCACCCTAATTTTCTTACTCACGCTTGGCTTTCTCTGTCTTGAATTGTTTGTGGAACAGGTTTTAATGGAAGTTCTTTGCATTTTACTGTTCTTAATGGCCTGTGTAACCTGAATGTAACAGACTGGCTTTTCTGGAGCTTCAGTCTTAAGAATATTCAAGAAACAAACAGAAGGATGTTTCCCAGAGAGGTTCAACAATGATACCTGTTTGCTGCTTTTTAGGTTTTAGAGAAAACAAGCAGCAAGGCAGCTGAGTTAGAATAAACTGTAGATAAGTACAGACTTACATGCTCTAAGTCCTCATAAAGAAATGTCTAAATTACCTTTAAAAAACCTCCTACCAGTGCCAGCAGCAGCATGTTTGTTACCCTGTCACTAGGATGAGCTTAGATGCCCCTCCCTTTATGCCGGTGGTTTGGGTGTAACTGATACTACTTGTATGAGGAATGTTAAATAAAGGGAGAAAACCTCTTGTTTTTTAGAATATAGTTGTTGTTTTTTTAGAAATACCCATCTTTTTAGAAAGGTCTTTCTGAATTAAAGGAGGATTTGGTACTTTGTGCTTTTCTGAAGGCCTGGGAGGTGCCCTGCAATATAAAAAGGTGACATTAATTTTTGGCCAACTGTGCTGGTCCAGGTATGCAGAGTATCTTTAGGAAATGCAAAAATAAAAGGGAAAGCATGTGAAGTGCTAATTAAACCATTTCTTTAGTATTTTGTTGTTGCATTTCATTGAAGAGCTTTGGTATGTAAAAAACATTATTTAATAAAGTATTAATTTAAAAGAAGAATGCATGGAGATCCAATTATTTGCAGTAGCTTTTTGTTGCCTCCCTCTTCATGCACCATGCATCCTGGAAGCAAAGGTATGATTCCTAGTCCCGGTGTCAGAATTTTCCCTTTTCCATCCTAGCTGATGAAGTGAGTCACCTGTGTGTATTTCTATCAATTTCTATTTCATAAAGACTGAAATGTTAACTGTTAAGCAGCTCTTTTCTTGTTTCTTTGGTTATGCTGGAAGAGGAGCACTAAAGAATCAAAAAACAAATTTAATGTTAAGAAAGAACCACTTTCATAGGCCCTCCCAAAGATCCTGAAATATCTGCATGTTTCTCTTCTAGTTTAGAATGTGACTGAGACAGCACATGATGTGTTGCCTGATGCAAGAACTGTGTTCAGTTAATGCATATTGCCAAGTTTGTGTCTGCAAACAGGAGCTTGATTTGCAGTGTCTGGGCTGTGACTGATCATATTCAGTCACAAAGGGGGCCAACAAACAGCTGCATAAATGTCTGGTAGAATACAGGAAATCGTCTTGAGGTTTTTGATCAATGATTTCGAAACAAGGACAGTCAGACATAGGCTGTAAGATTAAACCAGCCTGAATCCATCCTCATTTGTAATAAAAAGTTAAATATTTTGGAACGCTCTGACTTTTCCCAGTCCACCCACTCTTGTAAAAATCCCATGCAGCTGGATTTGGTGGTGACACCAAGATTCTGGTAAACTGTCAGAATGGTCCCTCTGGTTTGTCAGGGCTTCCTGATTTGTTTCACTGGTTTGTTACCTCCTCATCTGTTGGGTTACAAAGCAATAAAGGCTGCACTTATTATACTGCTTATCTCAGATAGCACTTCCTCTCTGTTCATGCCCATTCATAGTTACATACGACATGCAGTATTATTTTCAGCTATATTTGGCTTGCATGTAATCCAACTTTCCAGCTCCTCTCTGTGTTATGTAAATACAACAGCAGGAGAAGCCGCCTTTAGTCCTCTTGTGCCAGGAGGGCACAGTGAACATCAACATGGACATGTTCCTGAAGACCAAAACTGTTTTCTGGAAGTCTGCTCACAGATTTCATGATCCATCTGTTTTCTGTAGAATGCAGTTATTTAAAGCAACAAGTTCACTTCAGAGACGTAGTACAGTAGCTGCTGTTTCTGTTGACTTTTCTGATGAGGCTCAATATTGTCTATTTTCCATTATATCTCAACACTGCCTTTAATTGCCTCTTTCCAACAGATTTACATATTATCCCTCCCGGCTGTTCACACACAGATTTCCCTTTACTTGGCAACCTTCCAGTCACTCCGTACTAAAGACAGAGGTACTAAATCAGCAAAGCAGTTGATGAGAGTCAAAATAAAACTACATTATACTACGTGGCCTACAGATGACTGAACAATTAAACAACAGCATCTGAGACTGTCGCCAGAAGTTCTCTTCCTTTTCTTATGACAGCTCATTTTAAGCATTTTTGGGCAGGTATGTAAGAAGTTTGTAGAGGCTGAACAAATGTCTCTTTGAATGTTATCTAGCTCCATTATTTATCACTACTCCAAGGAAGAGTAAATTAGAATTAATGATTCTCTCAAATACCAAATTGTTTTTACAGGAATTGGCTTCGTAACCCTGATACTTGGGGCACTTGGGGAAGCAGAGACACTCCCTGGAGAACCACACAGGTCATTCACATGGCCAGGCTGACTCAGCAGTAAGTCTACACATGTCCAACTGCAAATATGTAAGGAAGCTTAACGCTTTTATGGTGATACTCAACATAAATACATACCAATTTCATAAATAAGTACATTATTGAATTAAGACAGGCTTTTTGCCTTCTAATGCACCCAATCCCCACTGCTCTGTCATTGCCACTAGCTGGTGGGGTATGTGGTGTCCAGTGACACATGGAGACCATCAGTGTGCTGCTGTATCCCACAGTGAAGAGCTGATTTGGGTGTGCTGTTCATTTCACCTCACTTTGGCACAGGTGAAGCCCTGAGGCTTCTGGCAGGCTGCCACTGTAAACCCAGCATGTTTGCTTGAGTAGGGAATAAAGCCTCAATATTGCATTTCAAACACTGATTAGTAAAGCAGGCAATTGAAAGAAAATGATACTTTTCAGCTTATGAATATTGTGGAAAGGAAAACAGCTCCAGAAGTTCAAAGCTAGAAACGCAAGAGTGGTGAGGTACATCAGATTCCTAAGAACGAGCTTCCTTCCCATCACCTTCAGCTGGACACTCTGACTGCATGGTCTCTAAGACACTGCGTTTGACCAGCAGTAGAAATGCAGCTCTACAAAAAGCCATTCAGAATAGTCAAGAGCAAGGATTAGGGCAATAAACACCTGGAGATGGAAAAATTCTTCTGTTTTTCCTCCCACAGGTTTTGGAATCATTATGCCAGGAAATTATTAAATCACAAATTTGAGTAGTTAATATATTGCTTGGATGGCACATGAAACTGCTGAGGGATACGGCTGAGGAAAAGAAGAACTCTCAAAGTCAGTAGTGAGGAAAGATCAGATAGAGGAGCTAGACTACGACTTCCATGGACTTCTGAAACAATACTAGTATGGGAAGATACTCCTCTGACTGATACAAGTTGGCATTAAGAAGAAGTGTGTGCATAAAAAGCAGAGGAATCTGTTTAATATTTTCTGCTATAATTCAGCACAAAGCTCCCCCGTATTTTTGCTCAATAGGAAAGTCTGCCACTTAATTGGGAGAGAGAAAGCAGACATTCTAAAGCACTTTTGTAGCTAGGCGGCCAGTTTTATGTCTTTGGAGAACAAGGCTACTTTTGCTGTGTGTCAGATGCCAATCTGTGACACACTAGAGTTGTTCTGCAGCTTACTAAGCTTGGTGTCAGTACCCCAACAAGCTCATTTTCTCACCTGCACTTTGCTTAATATTGCAGTTCACTTTTAGTTCATTAGAGATCCTGCTAAACATGTACCAACAAAAATTAACCCATCACTGAATTATTGCAACTGTGTCGTTTAGGAAAGAATATCCTCCTCTCCTTATCACAACAAGACTGTGTGTTCTAATGAATATTCCCTATCTGGCTCTGTCACAACTGAACACAGAGCACCAGAAGTGCCAACAGCCTGTAACAGCAATGTATGACGAAGCAGATCAGATGGCTCGTGGGTCTCCTCTGCTGCGCTGTTAGCAGGATGCTATCCTGCCTTTCCAAAGCTTTTCCCATGGGCAGGTGAATGCAATCAGATTTTAACCTTTGCTTTCTTACGTGGCAATTTTGCAACCTTACTATTTATATCATACTGTTGGATTTATTGACTGCCTCTGCCTAGACTTCACTCAAAACAGGGAAGGAAGATCCTGTCATCATCCTAGAGAGCCAGTGGGCAGAGATATGAACAGATTGGGTGATCCATGCACAAGGCAGTGGTGAAAATAGGGCAATAAAGAATCTCAAGACCTGATGTTCTGAGTGTTGGTATGCAGTAGCTTAGTGCTGATGCTGCTGTGGACCTTAATGGAAGCCAAGAGCAGACTGCATCACCAGCCTTTTCAGTTGTTTCACACAAGGGAATTCCTACAGGAAGTTTTCCTCAAAGGCACTCAAATGAGCTGGCCTGTAAGCACCAGCTAGCCAACAAACATTAGATACAAACTAACACCAGGGTTGCCCACAAATTCTACAGAATTCTACAAAATCTGTAATGTCCATAAGAAATTTTGAGTAAAACCAAAATAAAATAATTAAACTCTCTAATTTCTCTCAACAGGTCTAACATGCCTGATGTTAAACGTCTTTGGGCAGGCTCCCACCCTCTAGGCTTGTCAGCAACTGACATACACATTCCAAACTTTCTATGCTCTGTTTTCTTTCTACACTGAAGGGTTAATACACACAGCACAGCTTTAGTGGCACCCTTCATACTCTTGATGACCCTGGAAGGCTGAGACACGCAGGACCTGGGCAAAGGTTTCTTCCAAGTGCAGGCAGAACTCACCATTGGCAAGTGACTGCTCTCCATTAACAGAAACAACAGATTTACAATTAATGTGGAGGGAAGAGGAAGACCATCTAGAATGAAAATGCCAAGGAAGCCCATTGTCTTCCCCAAAAATATCCTCAGCTAGAGCTGGAAGGCCATTTTCTAGAAGGTTCTGCATCACTAACAGCAAAGTCACAATCCATCTAGACTTTTTATAGCTGAGGCAGGGCTCCAAAATCTCTGCCTGGCATTCAGGGATCTTCCTGATTTGGGAGTCTGTTTATTCTGGGGGCACCTCCCTGATTTTTGCCGCTGAGCCTTCCCAAGCCTTCACTTCTGCCCCAGTGCAGTTTTCTTCATATTTTCCTATTTTGGGAAGATGTATTTATTTGGAACCAAAGAAACCAACCAGCCACCTACTAAAACAACAAACTGTAGAACCTCTTTTCAGCAGCAGAAGCATGGGGGTCCTTCACTGCAACTGCACCTGCTCTGCCTGGTTTTACACACTCACATGAGCATCTGTTAGCTCCCCTTCCCTCTCTCACTTCCCAGAAAGGCAAGGACTGCGCTGTAAGCAAGTCCTTGAGAAAACACAGCAGGGCTGAAATGCCTGACCTGCCTTAAGCAAATAGATCTGTGAGGTACTCTCTTCAAAGATTCAGATTCTTCATGCAAGCTGACATCCCCAGCAGAGATCCAGGATCCACTACACTGCTCCATTCTCTACCATCTTCCACTGTGATCTTCACAGTATTTTTTCTGTATGCAACAATAAGGTGCAGAGACAAAAGAGCTCTCGGTTGCCATTTGCTGAAGAACTCTCAGCACAAAGGCAGCAAAACAAAGTTATCTGAGTTTTAAGAAGCCTGTCAATCTCTCTCTAGTGTACTGACTTTCCCTTTTGCGAGCTTTTGTAATAGCACTTCTGAAGCTCTGCTTTATGGTATCAAACAAAATTAAGTACACTTCACTACAAAAACATTCCCAGAAGCCAAGCTCCTCCATTCATATACAGATAGGAACCTAACTGAAGGTCACAACATCCTGAAGTTTTCTGCCATCAGCACATTTGGGATGACATGGGATTATTACATATCTGTTGGTTTTCGGTTTTGAAGATGGTGCATACCTTTTTTGCCTCACTGCTGCTCTTCCTGCCTTGTTCATGCATCCACTTAGTTTATGATGTTCTTGGTCAGATCAAGCACTATGGCAAGATTACTTTTCAAGCAGTATCTTGAATTATTTTACTATCACAAGTCAAAGTTCTGCAGAATAAATGCCTTTTCACATTCCTCTTCCAGGATCTAAAATGATCTACTTAAGAGTCAAGTAGAAAGGTAACACTCTGCTTATTCCCAGAGACCAAAACCCACCAGCTGCAAATTTATTTCCAGTCTGGCACAAACTTGACAGAGTAGTTCCAGCCTTTGAACAGACCTCGTTACAGGAAAGAAGAGTCAATAAAGTTGTAATCAAAGAATACGGGGAAATAAATGCAAAAACTCTTCATTAACAATAAGCACCTTTATTGACAGTCGAACATTCAACACTTACTCCATTTCCTAAATTGCTGAACTACAGCCCTGTTAAGCATTTAAATAATAGATACTTTCAATTGACATGTATAATGTGTTATACCTGGGTGGCACAGAATTAAAGTAGTATTTAAAAAAGCCAGACACAAATAATCACTACCTGTGATTTTGAAAATCGAGCCCCGTATGTTTCAAAGTAAAAATTAACACATACCCTGGTATGCTTGTAAAAATGCCTATAAAAATCCTTTTGTTCAGAAGGCAGAGTGGCTGGGAGGTGTTTCCTATTTCACCATTTAACAAATGACATCACAAAACTACAAGGCAGCAAAACATTCCAGATGAATTTCACGCATTAGAAAAACCCAACCTGGTTTATTGTGTCCCAGTGATTTCAGGAGGCCAGTAGAGTTCAGCACAGCAACAAACCTCTGTAGTACAAATTCAGCTACGCATCAGTTGTTACAATATTTAACTCAGTGCTCAGGAAACTTAAAAATCAGATACATTAAGAGTCAGATACTGGGTATTCCCCCTTTTTTCTTTGCTGTTTCTAGTGTCTTATATCTATGGTATGAAGGGTATGCTACTTCCCGGTGTTTAAAACCTCTTCAAAATCTATTAGCAAGCCACTTGAAGCAAGAAAATTGCCTTTTATAAAGACTGTATTTTGTTTCCTACTGTCTTCTTCTGACCTTAATATTAAACTTCTACTCAAGCAAATAAGAATGAATTAACCACAGCTATTTTAATGCAAGGGCACCAATTTCTATGCCCAATGCCAGTATTTAGGCAAAATTATTTAACTTATCAGGTTAGTACTTGAGTGCAAATTGTAGTTCCACTGAAAGTCCTAGATCCTACACAAGGTAAACTGCTCAGCAGTATCCAAGAAGAAATAAGACTATCTAGTGTTACTAGTAAAAGTCTTCTAATAAGAAAAGCTACTGACCTAAGTCCTTCGTAACACGTGCAAAATAGCATTTCCTGGAAAGGCAAAAATCAGGTGGGTTTTTTCCTTTAAGCTTCCCCTTTGTGCAGGATAGGAAGTTATTCTAGCAAGCAAAAAACTTAATCGGTAGTCTAAGACAGTGGTGTCTCTTTATGTCAGTTAGACTTAAGTGCTTTATCAGCACAGAGCATCTGTATGAAAGCCGAGAAAAGGAATTCAGTTTGTAGCAGAAATTCAGTTATACCCATGCACAATCTACAACATTCCCCCCTTCCCTTCCCCCAAAAGAAATCCAATATGGGAAATAATCCTTTAAAACAAGGCCATCAAAAAAACAAATAGAGCAGGAAAGCCTAAGCAGAGACATACACAACCGATACAGTGAATGGGACTGCTGGAAGAGACAAGAAGTTAGACATCTGTATAACTTCCACATGGCTGAAATCCTGATGTTCTGCTTGGATGATGAGGTTCTCAAAGCAGAAATAGGGATTTTTTTTTTTATTTTCCCTTCCCTGCCCGTGTTTTTAAAGGCATCAAAGGTATCCAGGATGCAGTAAACATTTCACAAGGTTAATACAACACTTCACCAAAAAATCAACTTTGCTTTGTGAAGTAATTTAGACTGAAGAAATGGAAGAGCTTACACCAGAAAGGCAGCACACTTCACGCTTACATAAAAACAAATCTGCTGGGATTCAAGCTCTGTATTTCTTATTATGCATAACTAGATCCTCCAGCTACATTTTTCCTCCATTAACCATAATGCAATCAGAAGTCTCAGCATACATCCTTGTTAGTAAAGTCTTACTTTGGAAAACTATAGTTGCATACAGGTGAAGGCAGATTTCACACTGCAAGGTGTTATACATTTTTAGGCAAGTTCCTATATTCTCTCTTATGGAAAGAATTTAGACATCCTTTCTAAGATACAGGTGTTTTTGTTAATCAGCATTGGGGTAATTAAAAATACAAGCCTCTTCACCCTTTTAATGAAAGGAGAAAGTCAAATAAACTAAACCAGATATAACCCAAATTTCAATCTTTCACTGAGGTACTTTGGAAAGTAACGATTGTATCATTTGCTAAAAAAAAAAAAAAAAAGGGGGAAGTAAAAAAAGTATCAACCATCAACACCAAGTCATAGAATTCATAAATACTTTAACAGAGTAAAAGAGAATGTCATGGTATACACCCAAAAAAGTTAAAGGATACATTGATATTAATAAGGTTTCCTATGGTTCCAAATGAGCATAAATGACAGTGAAAACCTAAAATCAATTAAAGGTACTCAAAAGCTGAAGTTTTATGTCCCTGAAAAACATTTTGTAGGGACCTAAATCAATGACATCAGTACCATAAGGGGAAGCAGGGGCTCACTTTAATTCACAACTCTTATTTGCTAGAAATCCCAGAAATAGTAGTTTCTTTAGTAATACTATGTCCAAGAAGTGTAGCATTTTCAGTGATTTACAAGTGAACTCTCAAGAGACACAGAAAAACAAGAAATACTCAAGTTTTCTTTCATCTCCTTAACTATTGGGTTCACTCTGTAGCGAGCTCAAGGTAACAAATTCCTGGGGGGGGGGGGGGGGAGGAAAGGGGAGGGTGTGAATGTGGTGTTCATGAAGGTTACAAGCTTGATAGCCCTGAATACCAAGGTCTTCCTTTAATTCATAAGTTAACATGGGAGCAACTCAATAAAGTAACTATCTCTCCTTAGCCACAATCTGTCATTTGATAGCAAGTGCTGCAATACTGATACGGGTCTCTTAGCCTCTCCAAACCAAAATAACTTCCTTGTTTTCCAGACAGACAGCAAGTTCCCACTGTCATGTCTGCAGGCTGGAATGGAGTTGTAATTATTTTGGTCTACAGTGATAGCTAATACAAGAATAAAACAAAGTGCAAGGCCAAGCTTCTATCTGGAAGACTCGAAATGTTTGAGTTTTTCTTCGTTTGCAGGAACTTTTCATACCTGCTAAGCTAACACAGAAGTAATGGGAACCATAGCTGAGTTCCTTAAAACCAGTCACACTACTTAGAAAAATGCAGCATCTGCTCAATCCCTAATCACATTTGTAATAAATGTGAACTCAAATAACAATCTCCTATGATCTGTATGTGCAGTATCAGACCAACTCTCCATTTCTCAAATGGAAGCTATTTTTCAAATACCCATCTAACTAAATAAACTGAGAAAGAGCAGGAAATAAAAATGCAAACAGTGACAATGTCTACAAAAGAATTTTTAAGAGCACATACACAGAACATTTAAGTTCTGATTTTGTTACTCACACTTGGAGTCACTGTCAGTCAGCACTTCTTGCAGACTGTTAAGTTACCTTTAAAGAACTTACTGAAAGCACTGTAAAGGTGATGGCATTTAGTGACCCAAATATAAAACCATAGTTTGTGGAGCCACCATTTGGTAAAAGTCACGTCAGGAAAGGGAACACACACAGAGGATATTATCACTGCACGACACCCTTGGTATTTTACAACTTCCACAGAACAGTTCATTCCTTAAGCCCCAGAAAGCCAGAGAACAGTTACTTCCAATTATCTTTACAGCTGGAAATCGGCATTTTGTCAGAGCTTAACATAGCTGTAGGTAAACAGAATTAGCAACATTTGCTCTGAACAAAGCAGCACATTCTGTTCCTCCATCCCCTCCCCAAAACAGAAGCAAAATGCAGTTACTTTGCTCATCATGGCTCCCAGGCCAAGGACACTGAAGCTTTGTAGGTTGCAAATTCCTCCACGCACATGACGCACAGTTACACAATTGCACGGGGTACCCAGCACAAAAGCATTGACCCAACTGCTGATTTTAACTCAACGTGCACTTCCCACTAAGAAGAAAGTTAAGGTATTAAGCTGCATTTAAGATTATGCAATTTTAATGACAACAAAATCAATATCAGAAACAAAGAGAAGCAGGTACTGTCCAAGATTTTGTAAGTGATGGGTTGAGATGAGACATCCAAAAACTGATGCTGGACAAGAAAAAAAAAGTAATCTAAAAATGCTTTAAAGCTGTCGGACTTTCTTATCAGTGCTTTTAATATTGACATCCAGTGTCTCTACTTTTTTTGTTAGCCGATCCAGCATCTCATCTTGCTCATCTATTTCCGTCTGCAGCCCAAGAGCTAGGTTTTTCAGACGACTCAACCCAGAAGACATCTCATCTGTCAACAAAGAGAGTGACCATAAGGAATCAAGGCCATATAAAGCATATTGCTTAAATGGACACTGTCAGGATTCCCTTTTCTCCAAATCCCTGAGTCAGAAGATGTTACAAGTGCTCAAGCCTGAGTGTTTTTCTCCAGCAGGGGAAGCACTTACATATTAATACTTCCACTGCATTGCTACCAGAAATAATCACTTCCTTTTTTCCAAGTTAACTGCAGATGCTTAAAGCCAAATTGGACCTTTATAAAGGGATATACCCTGTAATGTAGTTTTTACTTGAAATTATATATATATTTTATATATATATATATATGAAATTGAGCACATTTTTTCTCAATACACTTAATATGCTCACGAAGTCAATTGTTTTTCTGTAAACGTCATGCAGAGATACCAATACACTGACCATTTAAGCAGTTATTTAACACAGATAAAAAAAACCCATTTCCAGATTTTCTAATTTGGCTACAGGGAACCATTTTATTGCATGGTTTATTGGTAAACACTTTTGAGCCTAATATGCTTTGCACAGCTTCTGAGTAGAAAAAACATGCTTCCTCTAACTCTTATGCTTGACTGTTTCTCTTTGATCCATTCCTTTCTGATTTCTTTCCAATCTCTTATTTCTAGGTCAACTAAACAGCAACACATGTAAGCAAAGAGGCACTTTGTATATATGCTGCAGAACAAAGGAAGAGAAAGTCAGCTGAATGGTTTGGGGAAGTAATGAAAGCAACTCAGCAAATTCACAAATCAAATATTTAGTGTCCTTCAATTTTTTCATTTTCTGTGAAACAGGTTTATTTCACAAGCTGCACACAGTGATAAATTCTTTGGGTCCAAAGTGAGGTGCAATTTAACATTCGAGTTTAACTGTCGGTTAGGTAAGTTGAGTGCATCTTTCAATATAAGCAGCAACCTTTAGAAAAAGAGGCAGTAAGTCTCCACACTGGTATAATGTGGATGTCAATTTGAAGCAGTATTTCCTTATAATACTGCTATACCTGCTTAGTAAGATTTTTCAGAACACATAAGTCTGCTTGTCTGAATGATATCCCAGTCAACCTACAGGACAATTCAGAGAAACACTCATATCTTGAATTGCAAGTGTTACGATACTTAAGGACCACTTCCTCTTTCAAACAACACATTTACCAGCATACACATATTTGGTAAGTGTTTTCCTTACTGTCAGTAAAGGATCTGAGAGGACTCATGCTTTTGGTGTGGGGGCTTTTTTCCCCCCTTGGTCTCTTCACTCAGAGACAGCTCAGAACCTATCAATTTCTAAAGCACAAGCATGTTGAATAAGAACTTGAAGTATTAATGCCAATAGCATATCACTTGCCACCGTAGATTTTCACTTCCAGGCCTCCTAGCCAGTTTCCTTCTAGCTGGTTTCAGGTGAAATGCATTTCTAACTCAGATTTGTTATTAGTATTTACAAGTAGTTGACAGACAGACCCCACATCATTCTACCATTCAAATAATGTATGTTTCAATCAAACTTTACATTCTGCCACATAGAGAGTTTTGAAATGCAAAATACAAGCAAGCAATTTTTTTATTTATCAAATTCCACCTGTGAACTAAACTAAAAAGTGTTCATTGGCAATATATTAGTAATTTTCCATGGCTGAGAATTACATTACATGAAACAGCATCAGTTCTCACACTCACCTAAGTTGTTATCAATTTTCTGGTGGTAAGCACGCAGGTGTTGGTTCTTTGGATAGGAATCCCTTGGCACTGAAGAAACTGAATCTGCTTTGCTGAATTCATTGTCTATTAAGAGTATAAAGTACAAAACATTACATAAGATAAAAGCTGGTAAGAAAATGCTCTAAAGTTTTAGAAGAGTTATTAAAAATGAGTCTGACCACAGCTGACATGTCATCACATAACCTGTTAGCAGAAGTATCAAAAGTAGTCCAACAGTGCTATCTGTAGGGCATTCCTCAAAATGAACAGGTATTAAGCTACAGTTATTCTATTTTGGGCAGCCTTTTGTAGTTCTGTTGCATAGCTGGGAGTAATAAGAACATAACAAACCCAGCTACCCAAGTAACCCAGGAGGTAGGCTGGTAACTTCTAGTACAGTTAGTGTACCCTCAGGATGAACCACCAGAGTTGAGTTATTTCTGCCCTCTATTGGCCAGACTTTTAATATTATGCGATGTGGAATGGAGATTTACATTACCAAAAGCATTTCTTTATGTACAGAACTACACCTGTAAAGATATCCTGTTGCTTTCTTATTTTTACTAAACAAATTGAACTTCACTTTAAAAAGGAGCAGTTGTTTTGTACACAGAAGTCATCACAGAAGTTAAGACATTGTGAGAACGGGGAATGAGATCAAACCCCTACACCTCCCTGCGTGAATCAAGTAATGACTTCAGTGTGAAAGGTTATAGTCCTTGTTTGAAATAACAAGGAAAATATATCTGAAAACTATGACAAGGGATGGTTAAAAAGAACAACATCCGAATGCATGTTAACATTTTGGTAAGCCAGGCTGCCTGCCTGTTATGTGGATTCTTGGCTACAAAGAGTTTAGGGAAAACAGTTCACTAGAATTCAGGGCCATGGAAGCTGGGATACAGATCTCCAGACATTAAGCAGCAACATAAGCCAGCAGTGGGCAAGTTGAAGGGTCTCTGACTTCACCCTGCGTTGATGACAGACAGTGTAAAATAAAGTTACAAACCTATATCTAGCTTCCTTAAATTTGGATGACTTTCCTGGTATTTTGACTCTTGCTCTTTACTAGACATCATGGCTTCTTTTAACCTAGTAACAAAGAATAAAAAGAAAACATTCCTATGGACCACAAGCCTCATACTCAGTCTATTAAACAAGAATAGGTATCACACTTAACACAAAAGCAGCACATTTATTACACCGGATCCAATATATCACTTTAAAATAAACTATTTGCATTTGTCTTAAGTGAAAGCGGAACTTTAGTGCCAAAAATAACTCTGATATCAAAACTAAAACCGTATCTTCCATCTTGGACGCAACCTATTGCTTTCCTCTAGTGGAGAATGGAAGGAAAAGGAAGGAGGGAATCAATCCACGCACCACTACCAGCCTTTACCCAAATTCCTCAGCTGAAGAGACGCAAGTATTGTGAGACACTAATTTCACAGCAATTAATTCCTATGTACAGCTTTTAGCAGAAGCTGAAGAACCACACATAATACTTGACTGGAAGCATGTCAGCACTACAGATCACGGCTTCCTGGTACGACTGAAGCAAGCATGATAATACAGAAGACTGAAGAATCACTTGTGTAATTTTCTGTAACTGTTGAAATTAATTTCTCAGTGTTATTCTTACCACTATAAATATAAATAGAAGTGAAAATATTCTCCTAAGAGTTAAAGAGAAATAGGGAGCTAGACACCATCTCAGGAGTCTGCTTTCCCAAATCAACAGATCTTTTAAGTTCCAATTTTGAGATGACATTTCAGAGATGCTGTGGCAGATAAGTCCCAGATAAAACACAGATTTTCCTTACCTACTGTTAGCATAATAGTCAGACGTTCCATTCTGCTCTGGCTTGCTCTCCGGAGGTTTGGCTTTGAAGTAGTTCACCAAGCCCCCCCAAACACTCTTAATGCTATTTATGTGCCTTTGACTAGTCTTCAAGTCCTGGTCCATTTTATCTACCATCTGCTCTGTGCGCTTCAGTGCCTCTCCTTGTCGTACAAGCTCCTAACAGATATTAACAGAAAAAGAGAACTAGTTAAGCCAAAATAAACAGAAGCATCAATAAACTGAAACAAACATTTAACAGACTCTCTGAAGAAAAATAGCAGTTCCATCATCCCATGTAGATTATTTCTGAAGGCATACAGCTTTTTCAGTCACTTCTCTTCCCCCAGGGCATTTCAGTCACAAGCCAGCTATAAAATCCTCATCACTACACAATGCCAGGTTCTCAACACCTACTACAAAAAGCATCCAGGAATTTTCTGTATTGGCCTTTTGTCAGGTTCATACTTGTGTCTTCCTGATGGAAAAAGCATGGCACCAGATACGTGGATGATATAGTGAAAATGTAAAGGTTTGCAGCAGGAAAATGAGCAAGCAGAAGTATTCCTAGTTGAGGATGACACCTTCTTTGGGAAGTGATACTCTTTTAACATGACTGGGATGTTCCTGGTAATTTGGAAACAGCATAACCAAAGGCAGTAAGTCCAAGTATTTTTTCATACCATTACTTGAGCAGTGCAAATACATACAGTGCAGAGTTTAGAAATGTTGATATATACAATTACGTTACTTTATAATTCAGCAGCACAAATATTATTCCAAAGTAATCCAAAGGTTAATTCGGACAGGAAAGTCATGTGCAGCTCACATGAGCACAAAACAAAGAAATTGTGCTCATATTGTCTCTAAACTTTTGGGAATTCTAGTGGAATATTCTTCTCCCCTCAATAAAGATGCAAACACGATTCAAGGGCTGTGGGCTTTTTCCATGCTTTTCTGGGCAAACAAATCACAAGTTCAGTGAAGAGCCACCGAGAAACCTCTTCAGCATAAGCACCTCCTGCAGTCCCTGGGTGCTCTTGGGTTCATTTGGGCAACCACATTACTAACTCTGAAGGAAACGTCCCATTAGCAAGTGACACAGTGGACAAGACCTCTCTGAGCGATGCCTCTAAAGACAAACTACTCTGAAACACGGCCAGAAGAATGAAGGAAATGATTAATCAGAACAACACCAGGCCATCACAAACAACCAAGAGGGCAGGCTCTCCATTTAGCCAACAGAACGACTGAAAACTTTTTAGTCGAGTAATAGGTACAAATGCCATTAATAGTCCTAGTAAGAGTTGATTGGAGCTGCTTAATAAGCAGCTGACAACACATCCGAGACACAACCTGTGATACACAGAGAGGGTCTAAGCGTTGTTTCTTTTTCACCTCAAAAATACCCTCCCAAACGCGCCTCCACCCCCCCGCCCAGTATATCGCGACAGCCCCGGGGCCGAGGTCTCCGTCTCCGTTCCCGCCCCGCGACCCACCTCAGAGGCGGCCACGCCGATGCGCTCGGACTCGTACAGCAGCGACAGGGAGCGGGTGGTGCTGTCGGCGGTGGCGGCGGAGCGACGCAGCACCTCCTGCTGCAGGTACCGCTGCCGCGAGGAGCCGTCCACCTCCCCCCCGCTGCCGCCGCCGCCGCTCGCCGACCACGGCAACACCTCCTCATCCTCTTCCTCCTCGGCGAAGGGGTTATAGCTCCTCGGCAGGCCCGACATGGTGCTGGGGACAGCGGTAGCTCCTTACGGCGGCCCAACCTGGGCTGCGTCCCCTCAGTCCGCTGCCCTCTCCCGTCCTTCCGCCCACAGGCCAACCCCGCGCGCCGGGCGGAACCACTGCGTACGGCTCCCCTCCCCGGGGTGGGATGGGCACACGGGAACGGCGCTGAGGGACAGGCGAGTACTAGGAAGAACCATGGCGGCGGGGGAGGGAGCCGTGATTGCGCAGACGGCGCTCATTTGTAGAGCGGGGCCTTGGGCAGTGCTGCAGGAGGGAGGAGCACCGGCGAGGGGCGGAGCTATGAAGCCGCAGCGGACGCTGCCATCTTTGAGCTGTGATCCCGCGCGAATTAGTGATCTCGCGAGAGGAAAGTGGGGAGGGGGCTGGCTTGCTGGCTGGCGGGAGGGCGGCCCCTGGCATTCCATCACAACATGGCTGCCGCAGCGGTGGCAGCGGCAGCCGCGGCTGCTGCGACAGCGGCCACGGCTGCAGCCAGCACCACAGCGGCGGCGGCCGCTGCTCCCTGCCCTGGTGCGGGGCGGGGGAGCAGCG